GGCCTGATTTCTTTCTTTTTTTTTTTTTTTAAGAATTATTATTTTATTTTACTTTATTTTGAAGTTGACGAGAGAGAGAGAGAGAGAGAGAGAGAAAATGCAAGTGAAAAGGCAAGCTGCCAGGTCCGGGACTTGAACCACGGTTAGCCATGTGGGAGTCCAGCCACCTTAACCACTATGCCACCTGCTGGCCCCTGTGGCCTGATTTCTTGTAGAATAGCAAACTCTTCTCGCCAGCCCTGTGGTGGTCATTTTTCTTTTACTCATCGCTTGCATACAATTGATTCTCTATTTTTCTTAGTTTCAGATACCCATGGTCATTCAGGTTTTTTTTTTCCCCCCCATAAAATGTTTTTTTTTTTCTTTAAAGAAAAAAACAAGAATTACTATATTTATTTATATTTGATCAGAGAGGGACAAACTGAGAGACAGAGGAGGAGAGTGAGAAAGCAAGTCTCCAGGTCCAGGGCTTGAACTGCAGTCGGCCATGTGGGAGTCCAGCACAGCACCCTTTAACCACCCCGCCACCTGCAGGCCTCCCAAAAAATGTTTTGAAAAATGATTTTTATCTGTACAGACTGGTGTACAACTAAAAAGTTGAAATGAAAGTAAATGAGTGTAATTGTCACCGCAGATATCATTAGGTATTTTTAAAAGTCTATGTTAATGTTGTAAAAAAAGCTAAAAGCATCTTATTACGGGAGAAGCGAGGCAGCATTTTTCTGGGTCTCTAGAGATGGCATTTCCCGTCTCTTTTCTGATAGAAGAAAAGAACCAAGATGACTTCATTCCAGGGCTCCAAAGAAGTACTTATTATCTTTGTCCCGAGAACAATTCCTCCTTAGTGAGAGCTGGGAGGCACGCTGTGTAGACACACACTTGCTCACTGTCCAGAGAAGAAGCTTTCTGCCATTGTTTGTTAATAAACAACAAATACATCTGGCCAGCTGGGCTACTTGTTTTACTTTGTAACTGTTCACATAGCTTTTCCGGCAGCCGACCCCGGCTTGGTCCCTCTGTGCACAGAGCACTTTCCTTCCTTCCTTAATTCCCATCACACAGCACAGAAAGTTTTGGGGGGGTGTTGTAGCAAAATATATTATGGGCAGACCCTGTCTATGAAAGATTGGATATTTTTCTTTTTCTTTTTTTTTGGAGAGGTTTTCACTATAGGGCACGTGCGCTCGCCAGACAGAGAGAGACAGAGAGACAGAAAGCGAGAAATCACCCCCCAGGGGGGATGGTCACGCCGCAATCCCTTTTCCTCCATTCTCCTCTCGGGATCTTGGGCACACATGCACACATGCCCAGCGTGAGTTTAAGCCGCCGGGTCCGAGATGTGAACCGCGGTCGACTACATGGGAGTCCAGCGACATAGCCATTACGCTAACTGCTGGTCCCAAAACTGGATATTTTCTTAAGCCACGTGAAATGAAAGGGTCGCAGTTGCGGTTTTCATATCATTGTTTAATAGTGGGGGTCGGTGACTGAGCACTCTGGGAGAAAGCTCCCCAGGAAAGGAACGGTTCTCACCGTGGAAGCATGGTCATTACTCATCATGTAAGGAGTGGGGACAGTTCACTACCTGTGTGTTGGATCAAAATCACCTCACTGCTTCCAAAGTATGACCCGTGTTTTTAAAGACTTGTCTTCAGGGCAGACAGACTCCTTTAAGGATGAAGTGGAGGCAGCTCTGTGGGCGCAGTGACCTCTGGGGCTGCCTGTGCTCCTCTGGCCCCGTTAGCAGCAGGGAGCTTTCGTTTTATTAAATCATCCTTTACCAGTTGCATGGAGAGAGTCTATACACCTCGGGTGCCGCTCTGAATTCGGTGCTGGGGTATACTGTTTGTTTTTGTGCCATCTCGGGCTCTCAAAGTCAGACTGGACAGTGGTGGTGTCCCTTCGGCCTGCTCGGTGTCTGGCAGTCGGAGCCACCAACAGGGACCTTCGGGACGAAAGGGGCCTCCGCCCGGGAGCCCAGTGTAGCCCAGGTGGTTTGAAATGGACCCTTTGTCTCTCCCAGGATTCGCCCCTGTTTTTCTGCCTCCCTGTCTGCCCGTCTCTTCTCCCTTGAGGATTTCCCTCTTTTCTTCCCTCCATTCTTTAAAGCGATGCCATATCTGCAGCTTTCAGAAAACCTGCTTGCTGTTCACGTGTCTTCCGAATTTCAACGTTTTCCTAACCATACCCTTAGCCCGACCCAGTTCTTCCACAACCTCGATCCTTCCTTTTTTATCCCAAGCCTTAGACTCCACATCCTATTTTTTTCCTCATGTCCATTATGAGAGAAGAATAATGAAGTCCCAAGTGGCTCCTCTTGGGGTCAAGGAGACCCGAAAATTACTGGGTGGGAAAAACTTGCTGCAAGGAGGCATTTGAAACAATGAAACACAACCTCAAGAGGGAGGCCAGAAAGCATTCTCTTATAAAGGAGCACTGTTCTTTAAAAAAAAAAATCTGGTTTTGCCTCCCTGGCCTTCCCCGTGGTCAGCCTGACCAGGGGAGGTGACAAGCTCTGCAGCTGTACGTAGGGGACCTCTGCAGTTCTGTCATTCGTCCCTCCTGGCACCCCTACTGCCAGTGCAGTTGGAAAACAAACACGCTCAACCCTGTCACTGAAGGAGGGTGGTTAACGAAGGGACATTTACCACACAGTGAAGTGCCTTCAGGACAAGCAGGAGGGGATGGTGAAGTGTCCTGGGGCCAGTCATGGTGGGAAACTACCACAGCCCCCAGGCCATGAAGGGCAAAGGGCCTTAGATGAGAACATCAGGGGTTAGTGGTGTCAAGAGGGGCCTTTGGCCCAGCCGACTGGCAGCTTGGGGAGGCTGCAGGTACAATGTCCTGCTCCCTGATCGTCCAGAACCTTTCTGGCAGATCTAATTAGAACCAGGAGGCATGAGAGCCCACTCATGTGGCCCATGTGGGTCGGCCTCTAGGGACACAGGACAGAGTGGAGAGTAGATCTGTGAAATTCCTGGGACGTCGAGCAAGCCAGCGATGTTGCAATAGGTTTTCATGTTGTTATAACAGAATACCTGAGACTGGGTAATTTATGAAGAACAAAGATTTGTTTTTCACAGTTCTGGAGGCTGGGAAGTCCAAGGTCCAGGCGAGGGCCCTGGGCTGTGTCATCCTGCAGCAGAACGTGGAAGGCAAGCGTGTTCAAGAGAGCAAGAAGCGAGAGAGGGCGAGCTTGCTGTTAGGACGAGCCCACGGGGGTTAGCTAACTCCCGAGGTAGGAGATTAATCCGCTCACGACCGAGGCAGCTCTCGGTAGCCCACCTCCCGGCACTGCTGCTCTGGGATTTAGTTTCCAGCACGAGCCTGGCCATGCTCGAGTCAGAGCACCAGGTGACCTCATCAGTCCCCTGGCTTAACCACCATTCCATGCTGAGTCTCAAGTGGATCTTCAGTGCTGACTCCTCTGACCTCAGACTCACGCATCCACCAACACGTTAGACTCTACCTGAGGGTCTCAGAGAAATACCAACCTTAACACTTCTGAAGCCACGTTAACTTCCCTCCTCAGACCGCTCCTCTCCGCCTTCCTTCTCCTTCCAGTTGTTAAAACCAACAACCACGGTATCACTCAGGACCTCTTGGTATCTCACCTCTGATCCCATGCCCCAGAGAATCCTGGTGGTTTGATGGTCAGGACACCCAGACCCTGCCCCTGCTCCCTGTCACCTGCATCTGAGCTGCTACCACCTGTCCAAGTCCCTGTCATCGGCCTCATACATGGGCCTTCACCACCTCTATGCTCAGAGCCATCCGCTGGTTTCAGCTTGTCATAAAACCTACAAGACCCTTCACAATCTCCCCATCTTCTCGGACCTCAGCTCTTAGCATTCTCCTTGAGGCCTAGTCTGTCCAGCTCCCTGGTGTCCTTGCTGGTTCACACCAGACAGGTGCCTGCCTCGGGGCCTTTGTGGGTAGCAAGAAGGTGAATTCATCTTTACACTGAAAAAGATAAAGAACATCTGTCCGTACAAGGCTTTTACATAAATGTTTGTAGCAACATTACCCATAGCAGTCCAAATGAGGAACAACCCAGGTGGCTTTCAGCTGCTGAATACTGTGGTACAACCACCTGGTGTGACATCAGCAGTGAAAGGAATGACGTGCTGAAACCCGTGACAGCACAGACGCTGAGCCATGCTAAGTGAACACCGTGAGCACGGCAGCTAGGCCAGCCGCCCCAGTCTGCGTATCCTGCGTGATTCCTTAGGAAGCGTCCAGAATAGGCAGGTCTGCAGAGGCGGGAAGTACAGGGTGGCCTGAGGCTAGGGCCTGGCCTGCACTGGAGAGTTTGGAGGGTGGCGGCTAAGAGGTACAGGGTGATGGAATGTTCCAACCTTGGTAATGGTGATGGTGGCATTTGGTGACGCTACTAAAATCTACTGGATCCGTGCATCTTAGACTGGTGAATCACCTAGAATGTGAGTTATATCTCAAGTTAAAAAGATGATGGAAGTGATAGAGATTAGAATTTTCATCGTAGGGCTTCTGCACCACTAAAGAGACAGAGAGGGGGAAAGTAAGCAGTCACCCTTCCCCTGCCCCAGTCACCCACCACCCCCCGCCCACACTGCAATCCCTTCCCCTCCATTCTCCTGGGATTTGGGGCAAGCACACACACGTCTGGCAGGAGTTTCAAACTGCCAAGTCCAGGACTTGAACTGTGGTCAGTTATGTGAGAATCAAGTGCCTTAACCACCACGCCACCTGCTGGTCCAGTGATTGCTATATTAATAAAGCATTCCTGTGATTTTTGCAAGTGTTTATGTAAGTCTGTGAAGTCCGCGTTACTGTAGCGGAGGTCTTAAAGGGGACTCTGTGCTTGTCTTCACTTCCCTCCATTGCATTCGCTCACTTCTTCGGCCTGCATATGAAGATGTTTGTTATTCAAAGGTGGTTTACATGGAGGAAGAGTGTTCTCTCCTGTCCATGTGAGCAAGTGGGGGTTCCTGATCACCGGCGTGTCTTCCCCTTTCCAGAACTTCCACGACGGACGGAAAGCTCAGCAGCACATAGAGACCTGCTGGAAACAGCTCGAATCCGTGAGTGGAAAACGGCTAAAGAATTGTCTTCATAGATGTTTCTCTTTTGAATTTACTTGCAATCTGAATTAATTCGTAAGTTAAAAGCATACAAACAAAACACTAATGACATATTCTTTGTAGATTTTTCTCATTTAAATTTAATTTGTTTCTAGAACCATATCAAAAGCAAACTCTTGAGCCAAAACAGTTCAAGTAGGGTGTTTTTTTCCGAATGTCATACGGAAGGCAAAGATTAGATAGTCTTGATGGAAATAAATGCAGATTTAAAAATAACTTCCAGAAATGACGACATAATGACAATGGGAGAGAGACAGCTTACTGGGGAGTTTAGATGAAATTCCATCTCCACATGGAAGTCGCACGGTTTCATAAATAATTATTTTCTTTGCCACTATCTTTCTCTGATTGTAGAGCAAACGGCGATTCGAGCGGGATTGCAAGGAGGCTGACCGAGCACAGCAGTACTTCGAGAAGATGGACGCTGACATTAATGTGACAAAAGCAGATGTGGAAAAGGTGAGCTGAGGTCCCCAAGTCCCTCTTTCATTTCCCCAGGCTGCCCTCCTGGACTGTCCCACCAGCTTCCCCTTTCTGATGCAGCCACAGAAGGGGATTGTTTTCATTTTGTGTCAGCTGCAGTGGAGGCCCGGAGCTGCAGCAGGGGGACCCTGCAGTGTGAGGGTCTGAGGAGTTCGGTCAGCAGGCTCGTAGCCTGGAGACCTGACCAGTAGCTCCTCGGCGGGTGTTGAGGGGTGATGCGCTTCCTTTCTTAATGGCTTTTCAAAGAGAAAGTCCATTTCTGGAGAGCAGGAGCAGGCGCCATCTGGAAGAGTGTGGCCTTTATAATGTTGCCTTTAAAAAGATAAGGAGCCTCTCGCTGCTGGCCCGACTTCTGATGGATGCAGTCAGCCCGTAACAGCGAGGCCGCAGTGGAAGGCCTCCATTTTCAAGTCCCCTCAAAAGCTTTTCTCTAAATGGCTTGTCTTGGCATTGAGGAATATTATAAAGCCTGCACTGTGTCTTCTTGTGGTTCAATATGTTTTTCTTCCCTAGAAGCAGAGTTTTCTTTTTGTAAAAGCCATCAGTAAATACAGTGTAAACAAAGTTAGGCAGTTACATAAGGGTACTCATTCATTGCTGCCTGGGGCTACTTGGAGGAGGGGGAACCCTGTGTTTGCAAAGATTTCTTTCCATCTGCCAGGTTGTTTGGAGAGGAGTGTAGCTGGGAAATGCAGAGAATTAGTGTCTGCCAGACTCTGCCAAATGACTTAGGACTAGGTATCCACAGCCCATCTTCAAAAAGTCCGTGGAAAAATGTGTATTATGGTAAAGCCGCATGGATTTCCAATTTTTGCATCAAAATAAATTCTTACTTTAATTCTGCTTTTCCATGAACTTGTTGAAGTTCCCTCAACTTAGTATGCCTTTCTCTAAAATTACTTAATATGTTAAAATACATCTTTTTCAGGGAGTAAGGGGGAAGGAATCAAGGGAAGACACATTTAGGCTTAACACAAATGTATAATTCTTCATCAAGTATTTTATTTTTCTAAATACAAGATCGGAATGATTTTTACTTATTTAAAGATGAGGGGGTTGTAAGTTACTGGTTAGGTGATCTGGATCCCACATTGCTGACAGTGGTCTGAATCCCAGCCCCAGCGATTTGATAACACACCAGGTGCGTGTGCGTGTGTGCCCCAAATCCTGACAAGATGAAGACACTGACGAGAAGGGACTATGGCATGACCATACTCACCTGGGGAGTGTTTTCTCCCTCTCCCTTTCTCTCTCTCTGTCTGTCTTTCTCTGGTGAGCATGTGTACTCTCTGGAGACTAAAAAAGAAAAGATTAAAACGAAAAGACTTTGGGCTAGCCAAGTAGAATGATGGTTAAGGCAGCTGGATGCAGTATGGCCAACTACGTGGTTCTGGTCCTTGACCCAGTGGCTTTTAAAACACACCATGTGTGTGTGTGTGTGTGTGTGTGTGTGTGTGTGTGTGTGTGTATGTGCCCAAAGTCCTGGGAGAATGGAGGAAAAGGGATCGTGGTGTGGCCATCCCCACAGGGTGTGATTTCTCACTTTCTCTCTCCCTGTCACTCTCCAGCGAGTCCACATGCCCTATAGCAAATTAAATAAATAAATAAAAACAAAGATCTAAAAAAAATAAATAAACAGATTTTTTTAAAAAAATTACTCTTATGGCTTTTTCTTATAAAAGCTATTCATCAGGACCAGCAAATGGTGTAATGATTACGTCGCTGGATTCCCATGTAGTCGACCATGGTTCAAGTCCCAGACTCGGTGGCTTAAAACTCACGCCGGGGTCATGTGCATGTATGCCCAAAATCCTGAGAAGAAAATGGAGGAGAAGGGATTGCAGCATGGCCATCCCCCCTGGGGGGTGATTTCTCTCTTCCTATCTGTCTCTCTGGCAAGCACTTATACCCTATAGCAAAAAATCTCTCTTAAAAAAATGGTTAGTGCTCATTGTAGAAATAGCTGAAATATCAACAACTGAAAGAAGTGGGGTGGGGTCTAAAAATTCAGTTATTGGGACCGGTAAGTGGCATGGTGGCTCAGGGTACTTGGACTCCCACATGGCCAACCAGGGTCTGAGTACTGGACCTGGTGGCTTTGCTTTCTCACTTTCTCTCTCTCTCTTTCTATCCCTCTCTGGTCAAATTAAAATAAATAAATAAAGTTAAATAAAATAATTATTTTAAAATATCCAATTACTGTTAGTGCCTTGGTAGGTGACTTTTGGAGCCTTCTTTTTAAGAATTGCACGCTGTGTCTGTAGAGCGCAGCGCAGAGGGGAAGGCACCCCTGCTTGTCTGCAGCTGGGGCTTGACGAGGGGCTCACTGGTGCCCGGTCCCCACTGCGCCCTGCATCCTCTTCCCTCCCCACGGGTAAGCTGCACCCTGAATTTGCTTACTCTTCCCCTTGCTGGTCGCCATAGCTTTTTTACCCCGTGTATGTATTGCCGATTAGTGTGTTTTATCATTCTGTCTCCTTTCACTTTAATATAAACAAAATCTTACTTTCATTCATTTTCTTCCCATTTACTTTTTTTCACTCAACACTATGTTTTTGGGACTTAATTCATGGGGAGGCTAGAAGATAGGACTTTTAGAAATCAATGTTCGAGTCAGATGCTTTCCTAAACTATCTTTTCATATCAGTTTGGGTTTTTCTATAGCTAGAAATGATAGTTTTATTTCTCCTCTTCTGAACTTTATGCTTTTTATTGAATTTTTTTATCATATCCTGCTGGGTATGACTTTGACATTGTGAACTTCCTTATCTTGATGTCCACTGCGAAGAGAGGGTTCAGATGTTATCCCAGTAAGAGTGATCTTCGGGCCGCTGGTGGTGCCGTGCTCGGGGCTACTCCGTGACGCTGGATCCACGGGAGATCGCGGGTCCAAGTCCCCTCTGCCTGTACTCGCCTGCAGGCTGGGGAGGGGATGGCACCATGGGAGACTCCTGTCTTCCTCCCCTCTCTGTCTCTCACACTCAGGAAAAAAAGAAAGAAACTTAACAATAAATACTTTTAATATGCCTTAAATTGGGTTAAAGAATTTTCTTTTCTTTCCTATTTTGCCAGCAGGGCTTTTTTCTCTTTTAAGCTTGACTTGATACTGAATATCATTGCATATTTTTCCTGCCTCCTTTACTTTATTGATGTGGTAAACTACATCAATCGATTTCTGTACATGGGACTAAGTTAGAGTTTCTGTGACAGACAACTGGATTATGATGGATTTTATTTTTATATATAGATTAATTTGTTTGGTTAATATTTTACTCAAGAGTTCTTTAATTCGGGAGCCAGCAGTTAGCGTAATGGCTATGTCGCTGGACTCCCACGTAGTTGACCGCGGTTTGTGTCCCGGACCCGGTGGCTTAAAACTCACGCCAGGCGCGTGTGCATGCGTGCCCAAGATCCCGAGAGGAGAATGGAGGAGAAGGGATTGCGGCGTGGCCATCCCCCCTGGGGGGTGATTTCTCGCTTTCTGTCTCTCTGTCTCTGTCTGTCTGGCGAGCGCACGTGCCCTATAGCAAAAAGCCTCTCAAAAAAAAAAAATGGATTTAAAATTTTTTGCACCAAAACAAATTTGTACTTACTTCCATTTTCTCATAAGAATTTTAAAGTTTCTTAATATTATTTCAGAAAAAAAAAAAAAAGAGCAAACACTCCAAAACTCTTAAGTAAAGCAAAGCAGACAGAAAGGAAAGTTGTAGTTCAGTTTCAACTACATGGGAGTCCAGCGACATAGCCATTACGCTAACTGCTGGTCCCAATCGATACATTTTTTTCATAATACACTTTTTCTATGGAAGTTTTTTCTTTTCTCTTCTTTTCTTTTTTTTTTTTTTTTGCCATAGGGTACATGTGCTCACTGAAGAGCGAGAGAGAGACAGAGACAGAGAGAAGGAAAGTGAGAAATCAGCCCCCAGGGAAGTTGCCACATTGCAGTCCCTTCTCCTCCATTCTTGTCTCTGGACTTTGGGCATGTACACATGCACCCAGAGTGATTTTTCAGGCCACTGGTCTGGGACTCAAACCATACACTCCAAGCGATTTTTCTTTCTTCCTTTTTAAAAAACATTTATTTATTTATCTATTTATTTGTTGTGATTTTCAGGCCGCCAGGTCTGGGACTCAAGCCATGTGGGAGTCCAGCGCCTCAAACACCATGTCACCTGCCAGCCCCCCAAGTGATTTTTTTAAGGCACCAGGTCTGGGACTCGAACCACAGTAGGCTCTGTGGGAATCCAGTGCCTTAACCACCACACCACCTGCTGGCGGCTACACAGACTTTTTGAAGACCCCTTATACATATAAGATGAAATGAACTATTCTTGAAATGTGTTGAATACTTTATTTATTTCTTTCATGACTGAGAGAAAGCGAGAACCCCACAAGGTCTCACTCCCACCCACTCCCAGCTCAGTGTCCTAAAGTGTGGGCACGTTGTACCCTGCACACTCAGCAAGTCCTCAGACTCGAACACGGAACCTCTCATGTGGGTCAGCCTTGCAGAGCGTTGGGTTCTGCTGCTATGCCACCCTCCAACCCTTCAAAACATCCTTGTGGGAAAGTTTCTAACTACTCGTTCAGTTTTCTATTGGCCACTTCCGGGCTGATCCTGATGGGTCCTATTTTTGTAACAATATATCCATTTCATCATAAATTTTCCAATCATTTCCCCATTTCAGTCTTGGAAGAAGGTACAGGTCATGGAGGAACACGTGAGGTCCCAGGCATACCAAGTGTGGGTGTGAGTGTGTCCCCGGGATGCCACGTGTAGGACCGAGGCCTAGGTTAGAGTGGTTCTCTGAACCACCTGCGCATGTGCATGCGTGCCCAAGTCCTGACGGGATGAAGAACGGAAGGGAAAGGGATTGCGGCATGCCGGCACCATGCCGGGAGGTGCTCTCCCTCTCTGGCTCTCCCTTCTCTCCCTCTCTCTCTAGCGAGTGCATCTGCCCTTTGACAATTAAAAT